GCTGCTGGAGACGAAGAAGAAGAAGAAGAAGAAGGGCTCCTAGCAGTAATCGGATATATTTGATTGAATGTAGTTTTATCATTTTGTTAAAAAAAAAAAAAAAAAACCACGTCGTACCATTCGTAAGAGAAAAAGAATGAGATGATTTTTATGACAAATTTTCCTCTAGGAAAGATTTTTCTTGTGAACTATTTGAATATTATTATTCGACGCTGTCTGTATTAAACTATTTCTTTTCTTTCTTTAACCGAGTTCTATAGATATTTTTTCTATTCGTTACATTAAATTTCTTTTCAGATAGAAAATGAATGATAACGAATTATTTTTTCATTCTGTTTTAAATTTTTTCAAAGTTTGATATCTGTCTCAATTAAATTATATTAATAATTAAAACAAAATTATAACATTTAAACGATGTTATTTCTCTTAAATTTTGAAAAGAAAATAATAAGTTGCCGTTAAACGTTGCCTATCGTACCTCGATTTCACTATTAAATAATATTATACTTATACGATAATATAATAAGAATATGAAATGATATAAAACATTTGAGATTTGTATTTTGTTTAGTGAAAAATATTGTACTGATCGTAAATACATATAGTAATGTGAATTTAATTGAATAATAGTATAATCATTTATATATTACACATTTCCATATTCTTAATATTTCAATAGTTTATTTAATAAATAAACCTTTCAACTGTGGGATATCAAAGCATCGAGACATTCAACGATCAAACTTTATTTTATTTTAATTCATTCACAATTCAACTTGTCTCCCTATTATTATACTTTGAAAAAAAAGTTCAAAAACATTAAATATTTTTCTAAGATTTAAATAATAAAACAAAGAAAAGAAAAAAAAAATAAGATAAAAATAAAGTTCTCTCGTCGAATGTGCATCGTGCCGATACGGCTTACGCAAAATAATTTCGGTTTTAGATTGACAATGGAGTTAAAAAGTTTTTTAATTAGTTAGGTATAATAGGAGGGGAGGTTGTGATGATGGTGTTGGTTTAGGATGGATGAAATTATTTATCAAAAATATCTCTTACCGTAGGGGGTCTCTTTCTTCCCCATATTAGGAGTTGAGCTACCTACATCCGATGGTTCGGTAGCTGGAATTGTTGCTGGTCCTAAAGTTGGAATGTCTTGCTGTATGGAACAGTCCGTTCCACTCCAGCCAGGGTTACAATAGCACTTATTGGTATTTGTGCATACCTACAAATCACAAAAATAACAAACTAATATTTTCTACAGAAGTAATTTATAAAAAGAAAAACGAAGATAAACTTCGTTGATCGTTTTTATCAATTTTTGTCGTATCAAAATTATAAATAAATCACATTTTGTAATTAAATGAAAGAATAATAACTTACGCCATTTCCTGAGCATTCGTTGTTATTGTGATTACTGGGACATTTGTCTTGACTTAAGTGAAGGAAAAGGCTCATACAGGTTTGATTTACACAGATCTATAACCATAAATCAAAAACGATATCGTCAATATTAATTATCTTTTCGTTTGAATTCAACAAGTTTATATAATATTTCAAATCGATTATGCAATCAATCATCTCAATAGTAAACTTTAACGAAAGATACGCGCGTTCGATGAAAGAAGAATTATTTTTCTTAAAGGTAAGCTTTAATAATAGACACACCCCACCATCTATCCCTTATCCCCATCCCTTGCACGACACTTTTTTTCTATTTTTATTGCAGAGAAAAATGTTTCAAATTGAAGACAAACACGGTTTTGTTAGCACGAGCCCCGTTATCATCAGCTCGTTCATCGTCAAGTTCAAACATTTTGCATAAATCGATTTACGGTATCGTTCAATTAATCGGACCCTTCATTCCAGCCCCCTTTTATCCTCCGTCCAGTCCCTAACTTCTGTTACTTCTCCTCCCGTTTTCCAAACTTCCCAAGAGACAAAACGGTTTGCCTGGGAAGCTTTCAGAACGTTTCGTTAGGTAGATCGATTAGATTACTTCTTATACAAGAATGAGGGGGGAGGGGGGAAAAGGGTGAATGGTTTCCAATAATGTGATATAAGAAAATCCTATATCTCACCAGATTATCACCGCAAGACGTGCCGTCACGAACCAATCCCCAACTTGGCATGTCGGAACCTTCCACTTTTCCAGTGGTCACTCTGAGTTAAGAAAGAAAAAAAAAATCTTATTAATCGAATCCACACGATATCACGTCAATTTATCTATTTTAGGAAGATATTACTTACTTGCACTGGTGTTCCTGACCCTTCATCGTTATCTTGGTAATGGTAAAAAGTTCATCCATTCCTTCGATAATCGGTTGTTTATACCCATCTTGGCATTGAAGGGATCCGCAACGAATGTTCCTAGACAAATCAATTAAATCCTAACTCACTTCGAAAAAGTTAAAAAATAGGGGTTGTATAAAGAATTCGTTGAAAAATCGAATGACCCGCAAACGATGGGGCAAACGGGGGTGTTTCCAAGGGTGTTTAACGTAATGCGAAAAAATCTGGGCCCGGGAAACTTTGAGAATTAGGGCGAACGTGCAGAAATATTTTGTTTTTTACAAATCTTTTTATCGTGCTACGTTTTTGTTTCGATTTTCCAAGGAAAACCAACAGCATCAGCATCAGCATCATCACCCAGCACCTATAGATAACCGGATACTCACTCCGATTCGCATTTGACGAAATGACCGGAAGCGTCGGTGCCGCAATGCCCGTTGATGGAACCCTTAGAATTGAATTGTTCGAAGCATTGCTTGTCCGATGCGATACTGCTGTAACCCCAAACCTGCTTGCATTGGAGATTCAAAGCCGGACAGATGCCGTTGAAGCAGTAATCCGTATTATCCGAGCACGGGCTTCCGTTTTTCTTATAAACATCCGGTGGACATTGGCCTGTATTTCCGTCACAAATTTCCGGAAGATCGCACTCGTTCGTTGATTCACGGCAAACGATTCCTCGCGCACGTAACTTCGTTAAGTTAATTGATTGATTGGTAGCAAAACAATGAAAGAAGAAAAAGTATATTTATATATATATATATATATAACTTTTGTATCAACGAGGACCAAAAGAAATAAAAAAAAGTCACGAACATCTTTTATTTACGGGGAAAAGTGTTCTAATTTGAAAAAAGTCTCTTTAACAATTATTAAGTAACCCCTTACGAAGAGAGTATTAAAAAATTGATCGAGTAAGAGGTCGAACGTTTTTAGAAAAAAAAAAAAAAAAAAAAAAAAAAGGAGAATGAATTAGAATAAGAGAGACCAATGAAACGAGAATAAATTTTTTTAAAAAAAAAAAAAAAAAAAAGAGAAAGAGGAGAATGTGTGTGTCTGTGTGTATGAGAGAGAGATAGAGGATACGACAATCGATTTCATTTTCAAGCATTTTGCTAGAATACTTTTTTTTCTACTTCTTTTTTTTTCTTTTTCTTTTTTTTTCGAAGTAAGCTTCGAATCCAGGCCAGTGATTTAACGACAACGTTCGATAAATCCGTAATGATGATGATGATGGTCGATCACCATTCGACGATAAAGGTTGTCCTGCTGGTGGTGTTCACCGGGAACAGGGTCACTCGTAAGGTCTCGAGGAAGAGATCGGTAGATGATCATCTACATTGACGACCTCAGTTACCTCGCTAAAATGTAACACATAAGAGAGAGAGAGAGAGAGAGAGAGAGAGACCTACTGACCGAGTAAATGAAGGGTCACAGTGTACTATAGCAGTTGCCTCTTAACACATATGTACGTTGGTGTTGTACCCCTGTCGCACTACTATGTTCCATATTCTACATCTACAATGTACTCTTAGTCCTTCCTATGGGTGTGTGTGTGTGTTGGTACGCGTTGTCAGGTTATAGTCAACTAGGAAGGTTCGGATGGAAGGGTGGTTAGGACGAAGGGTGGTGATGGTGGGACGTTAAAAGCTGTTGATTCTCTACCTAGGGATGTCGATGACGTATATCTAGTAGTATATCTATATTACTATAACTGACCAAACTTTGCATGGTCTTGACATGTTACACGTAACACTGAGGATAACACGGTTATGGTTTATTTCTTTTGAGAAAATCATTGTAAAGAAATAAATTGCATATTTATTATATTCGCGTTAATTATTTTAATTGGTGTCTAAGTTTTTTAGGGGATAATAATAAGAATATTTAATTCTTTATTATTTCGTATCATTGCAGGAAACAAATTATTAACATAAACGATTTTCTGAGAATGATATAACATCCTGTACGTGTTTATGTTAAGTATATTAATCGGTATAAATTTTAATGACTATAATAGTATTAGAAATAATATTATATCCACGACACATAGGCGAGTGATCAAACTTTAGAACTTGTTCAATTTTCTAATAACACAAAAACAGATAGAAATTAGAATTGAATATATTCCTTTTCGATGATTGCATCTATATAACATACGTTAAGTATACTACTAATCGATAAAAGGTTTCTAATGATTTCTAATATCGTTAAAAATAATGCGATAGTTAACGGGTATTGATTGTAGTTTATAGGTAAAAGGTATATTGTTAAATGTTCATTTTCCCTGATTATTTCCGGCTAAAGTTCATTGAATGTCTGAAGATCGATTAACAAACAACGAAGGTAATTTCCTTCAGGTTGGGAAAGCATCGTCGAAGGGAAGAATGACCTTTTCTAACGCACGATAGACAATCACTTTAATCGTTAGGAAGAGCTCGAATTTCGGCTTGAATTTCTGAGTTAATCTCTACTATCGTATACCCCCAAACACATACACACAAACAAAATCGGATAAGTGGTCTTGTAAGATATATATGTATATGCATGCTGTATGTATATATATATATGTGTGTGTGTGTGTGTGGAACATTCCCGTGTTTCCGTATTGGTGTAGTAAGAATGTTAGTTACGGCTTGATAAACCTAAATAGAAACATTATGGTAGTATTAGGATAGATAATCGTTATATACCTTGCAGTTGTTACAACAAGGTCCGGAAGCACATTGGGCCTCACTAGTGAGTTTACAGGTGATCGGATCGCAGCAAGGATCGAGTTCATGACATTCCTCGTGCGATCCGCAATCGCATTGTTCCCCTTCGTCTATTACCCTGTTTCCGCATGTTCTCCTGATTTCTAACTGTGAATTCACGAAGAAAACGTTTGTTCAAAATGGATAGTATTAATGAGACAGAAACTTAGATAATTAGAATTAGGTATATATGTTAATCGTGAACGATTGAAATTTGTGAATGTGTTTAAGATTAACATGGGTTTCTCTTATTGTATGTGTTGTATAGTTCGAAATATTAATGTATGAGAGTTAACTCAAATATATATTATAGAATATTATATTTGGTATGTGTTAACAAGCTATCATGTGAATCTTAAAGTTCTACAATTTCGATCTTTCATTGTAACACATATATACATATATATAGATAGGTAGATAGATAGATAAAAAAAGAGACAATAAAAAAGAAAAAAGAGAAAAAAAAGTGTTAAGATCATCGAGAGATCGAAGTAGTGGTGGGTTGGTTCCACTTGACACGCTTACCTCGTTTGGTTTATTAAAAAGGCAAAGGCCGTGGCCGCTTCTTAAAGCTTTTGTATAATCTGATTTACTACATTCGGAAAACTTGTAGGGCTGAACGTTTTGCAATCCGACGATGGATTGCGCCATGATACATCCGTGCCAATCGTGGCAGCTGCATTCGCTTCCTGCAAATGCTCTTATTAACTCGAGATATATCTATCGATCTCTGACATTTAACTTATTTAAATAACTAACAATTAAATTACAAAGGAGAATAAGATTTGTGTTCATTGTTATTTTGGCTTCGGTATTCGATAAATCCGACTGGTTGGGAGGTGAGGGGCTTCAAATGGGATTGGTAGATTTTATCGCAGGGGAAAATAAAGCAAAATTTTGTTAAAGAAAGAAATCGTTTAAACAAAAACTCACGTCCATCGTCGTGCGCCATTCCAATGTTATGACCAATCATGTGAGCCATCGTACCAGCTAAAAGATGGGGTTCGTATGTATTTAAATCAACGCTGATTCCTAATGATTTTTGAGTGCACACCGTTTGTGGTGCTGCCATTCCTGATTCTCCACCTCTGAAAGTCTCACCCCTGTTAAACAAACGAACGAAATGCAAATTCGACAAATATCGATACCTATTTTTATATTTCGTTATTTATAGCTTTGTAATATTATTTTTTTTCTCTCTTTTTTTTTCTTTTAAGATTATCTTGTCACACTCACGTAAGCAATTGGGTGGTGTCCTGAGCAACATTGTATACCTTCCGAAACATATATTCGCTAAACTGTACCATAGCTTCACCGATATCCATATCTTTAGTGATTTTCGCTTGGTTAGCACCTTGCCAGGTTTCGATGTATACGACGGAAACTCTAGTATTTAATGTACGGAAATACTGAAAGGTTTTGGACAAAAAAAAAAGAAGAAGAAGAAGAAGAAGAAAAAATAAAAGATAAAAGAAAAAAAGAAAAAAAAAAAAGAAAAGGAAAGGGGGAAAAAAACAGATGATGTATTTCGTTTTTTTTTTCCTTGGCTGGATACATACGAAAATATTTAGTTAGATTGTTCTTTTTTTTTTCTTTTTCTTATTGTTAATCGAACGTAGTTTTATTTTTTTTTTTTTTTTGATTTATTAATTTGTCTTTTTTGTTTTTTTTTTCTTTTTTTTTTTGTTTTTTTTTTGCTTACCAAATCCGCGATATTAGCAACTTGGATGGCATCGTGAACAACCTCGGCTCTGGTGCTACCGTTTCTTTTGTCAAACTAAATAATCAACAAATAATGCACATTTGATAAACGCGTCGTATTGATGATATAATAATAATAATAATAATAATATTACCAACCAATTGAACAATATAAATTGATTTATATTTTTATTGTATAAAGATCATCGAGAGAGAGAGAGAGAGATATAAGGGTTGAAAATATCAAAATTCCACCAAAATTTAATGTTATTTTCATTTTACAAAATATTATTTATCATCATCATCATCATGATAATTATTATTATTATTACTATTACTAAATGAAATGAAATTTTGTTTATTCGAAGATTTCTATTATATATCTGAATTGAAGGGATGGTTAAGGGAAGTGCATTATAAAAAATAAAATGAATATACCATAGCCTTATCGATAATGACGGCAGTTTCGATGTATTTGGTTGTTTCACGGACGTCTCTCTTGTACCGATCGGAAGTGTTTTCCGATAGCCACAAAATATGCTTTTGCCTACGGTTACGCCACTCGCTGGTTCCCGAATTAGCGCACCCTTTGTCCGCCTTTGTTCGAGCTTCAAATATAACGTGAGGATGTTTCTGCTAAAAGAGAGGTGGCTACATATAGTTAATATTCAAGACAGATCCTTAATATTAAATGTTTGTTCCAATAGGGTAAGAATAAATTTAGGAAAAGGGATGATAGTTCAACGTATTCTTGGGTGTAATCATAGAAGGAGAAGTTTGGTGTTATACTGATGATGTTGATGCTGATGGTACCCAGCTGGTAATGGTGGTTCAACTGTTGGATGAATAAATGAACAAATGGATGATGGTATTGGATAAAATAGATGTTGTAATAATCCTGCTACCTGCAGGATAATTCTGGTAGAGTTTGATACTGGTTGTAATGGTGGTACTGGTAGTGGTACTGGTGATGGTGGTGGTGGTGGTGGTGGTGAAAAAGGGGGATAGAGAGAGAGAGACGATTATGGTTCGTACAAACGCGAGTTTCGACCGCAAGCTGCGTGACCATTCACGAGAGTACAACGATAAGCCGAGCACGTAATCGTATTACGTTTTCCGTCACTATTATCGGTTCCTTTTGATTCACTGAACGTAATATTACTGATAACAAGTGGTCTACTTAAAAGAGTTACTTTATTAACACGTAAAGTCCCCCCTCCCCCACCCACTTCATCCTACTTATCTTGATTTTCTTTTATTATTATTTTTTTTTTTTTAGATAATTCGTTGCGAAAAATGAATAGACGTTGTTTGTTAAAGTTAAAGAAGGAAAGTAGAAAAGGAATAAGATAAATCTATTGGATAAAATGTGTCTCTATAGTTTTCTTTTCTTTTCTTTTTTTTTTATTCCACGTGGAAAGAGTATAAAGGTAAACTGATACATAGATAGATGGGACATAGATGGGACATAGATGGGACAAGGAATATGGGAAGGGTCGTAGAATGTGTTACTCGTTTGCTAAGTCGCCTTTAGGTTCATGTGTTCGGTTTAACCGAATCCTTTTCTATCCTTCGTTTTGTGTTAACGAAACTGGATCGTGGGTGTTTATGTCGGCTAAGCCCACTACTCTTTATACGTATATAGTATGTGTATATAATAGGCTAGTAGATATGTGTATTGGTTCTATAGAGGAAGAAGAGAATCGTGCAAACACTTCCGTCAAATGGGCAGAAGGATAGAAGAGAAAGTGAGAGAGTATGTGTGTGTGTGTGTGTGTGTTCACATGACATACTCATTTTTCTGTGAATACCTAATACGTTAGCTTGTCTAAACATACACACGCGTATGTATACACACACATATATGTATATATATATATATATATATATATGCGAGTTACGATAACATTTTTATTACCATAAAAATAATTTTTGTAATATTATAGTATGTTAATAAATATAATTTAACAAAAATTCGAAATTTTGAAATGAAACTGACCGACAAATCGCCGCCGTAGAATGGATGAATGACAAAAGTCTCGTTGCCTAAATGTATGACACCGCTGACACCGTTACACGTGTGAAAAGCGGCACTAGCTCCTGGATAATCTCTCACGGTGCCGTGATAATAACAATGTTCTATTTCCTGTTACACAAAATGAAAAATTATTATTCTTTTTTAGACACACACACATCTTATTTTATCGATCATAATTTTATCCAATTAGTGGTATGTATATAACTTAATTATCATCATAGATAGAGGATCCAATTATAATTTTACCTGTTTAGAACTACTTTCCGCACCGTCTTGTAAATAATCTTTTTGTATAAGATTCGGAGCTAAAAGTTGCCTGCAACAATTATTAACGACGTTTGGTGATTCGTTTTAATATTCTTTTTTTTTTTGTTTTTTTTTTTTTTTTTTTTTTTTTTTTTCAATTCATCGCGAATATAAACGCGTTTCTTTTCATATCTAATCGTGATTTATATTTAATTAATTTTTAAATAAATTTTCTTGTTGTTGTTGTTTTTCTTTGGTTATTATATTTAATATTCTCAACTTACGTATTTAATTCTAAATCTAGGCGAAATTTATGATTAAAGGCCTTGATCAGAAGAGACGTCCGATGAAAGTGTCTTCCTATCTGAAGTTTCAAAAGTAATATATACAAGATTAACAAACATACATAGCAAACAGTTTAAACGATTTACCAAAACGTTATAGCTTAGAGAGATAGGTTTAAGTAATTTACGAGGAATAATTAATTCACAACACCGAAAACTTACTCTTAATCTGCCTCTAGAGTTTTGATATCCTCCCTCCCCGTATCCTCTTTGAGGAAACTGAAATAACGAAAAGGGTACAAGATATATATATATATAAGGGACGTCGTTGGTAATTCGTACTTTTCCTCTCGTATTTTTTCCTCAAAGATAAGATAAGATAAGATCAAATAAAATAAGATAAGATAAGATGATACTTTCGGAATTAAAAAAGTTCTTTTGCTTACTTTTATTATTTTCTTTCTTTTTTTTTTTTTTTTTTTCAACGAGCTGTGTCAAAAATATACGCGCACATGTAAAAAAAAAAAAAGAAAAAATGAAAAAGGAATGAAATATAAGGATAATAATTGTACCTTAGTCACGCCGACTTCTCTCGTGGATATCCCCATTTTCTCGTGATGCCGTAACTGTACTGGATAGATGATTTGATAGTAATTGGCGCCGATATTTCGTACTAGCTCTTGGTTTTGTCGATACTCTCGTAGTAATCGTTCGACCTCACCTGAAATCAATTTTCTCCGTTCAATTGTAAGTTCTCCAATTTGCTTCGAGTACCACCACCCACCCACCAACCAACCAACCCACCCATCTACCTACCACTCCGATCTCATCTTTAGCTTTAATGGGATTTTAGTTAAATAGATGGAAATGGTGAGAAGCGTAATTCGTTAGACCAAAGTCCGGTAATCGAATGATGTTATCTTTCTATCTTACAATTAGATACAATAATATTGTTTTCATTTATAATATCATTCAAATAATTGATCTTACAAATTTGTAATCGTCACACCTTATGATACTTTGATTTCTTATAATGGAAACAGGAATACATGATAGACCAATAAGATACATCAAGTATCCATTATCTGATCTTTGACTTTAATGAGCTTTGAAAGGAAGTAATGGGGTTACAGGGTGAAGATTCTAATTCGTGAGAGCAAAGTTCGCTAATGGGAAGAAGGGTGTTATCTTCGAGAATTATATCATTCAAAATAAAACATTTATCTGACAGTCATAATTACCACCACTCTCGGTATATTAATCATTTTATAATATTATATATATATATTTGTTGGGGTAATATTTATGTTATTCTAAATGGAAATGCACGTTGGTCCAATAAAAATGTTCTCTCGATAATTACAAAAATATTTATCTAACCATTCTTAATTACCATCCAGAGTACTTGATTGCAAATGAATTTCTTTTATACATATATATATTTGTTCGAGGGTACTTTATATATATATATATTTTTTTTCTTTTACTGTGGAAAGGGTGAAAATGCTTGATAAGTTGGGTTATACAAGGTAGGCCAATGAGAACTCGCTCGTCGGTCTATCATCTTCGATTAATCGTAGCTTTACGATATTCTCTAATTAAGACGATGGGCATTGTATTAAGTTTACCACGACCGTGGTAAACTGTTGCTGTGAGAGGACGAATGAGTTCGGATTATCAGTCAAGGGTGCACTTAAAATATGTAGTGTCTAGTTTACCCTCTTATCGTCTTTCCGGGCTTACTCGATGTATCCCAACCCATTCAAAATGAAGTACAGGGATAATGTGCTTGTTATATATGTCTGTACGAAACAGAGAAAGAGAGAGAGAGAGAGAGAGAGAGATATCGTTACTCGTACACGCGTGAACATTTCTGTGTGTGTACGTACGAATGTATTTGTATTTGTATGTGTGAGATATATATATATATACAGCAACTTATCGAAATATAAAACGTGTTTTTTCTCTACGTTGACGTTGGTCAAATTAATTAATACTATGCTATGATGGTTTACCCTTAGACAAATATTTCAATTAATTCTCATTGGCCCTTGTGTTCCCCCTTATGTTCGTTTCCCTTTTACGACTATTCCCTTATTCATTCACTCACTACGCGACTAGTTGTTATAATAATTTCTCTCTTCGTTTAAAAGGACCATTTAACTGGTCAAACAAAAGGGGATACATTTTTGTCCTCCCCTTTCTCTCCGTTTTCTCTCGGTTGATTTCTCATTCTTGGAAAAACATTGAAATTAAAATTAAATTATATCTTTCCAGTTTTACGTTTTTCTATAGCATGATAATCATTTTCCTACTGCGAATGCGAATCCTGAACAAATTTGAAAAAAAGAGAGTGAGAGAGAGAGAAGGAAAGTTAATTATCATGCTTAATTATTTCAGATTATACGTTTCAGAAGATTCGAGGAATTTTATCATAAAAAGTTTTAATAAAGTACTATTACTCCTCCTTCCTTCCTTCCTTCCTTCCTTCCAGTTCACGTTTCATTGAGATTTCATACATAGTTCGTAAAGCAAATTCAAGTACACTAGGATTATTAATTTTGCATTTTACTTTTCTTTTAGCTAGAAATCAAAAACGAAAAAAAATAAAACACAAGAACACGAAAAGAAGGAATCAAAATTCTCGAAATTAGAAAGATTCGAATAAACCGAAAATGTTATTCGTAAGAACCGAACAAGTTGTTGTCGTTTTATTTGATTGATCATTTCAATGCAGATCATTCGATAAAATATATATCTAACGTGTTAGATACTAATGGGGGAACTATTATTTTATCGTTTTTTTAACAATGAAACATCGACGAATCGTATATGCGTATCATAACATTATATTTTAAACGATAAATCAAAATGATTAGAAATAAATGTTGTGTGTGAGCAAGGAGTATTATGTTATAATATAATATAATAGTTCGCATAATTTTAATAGAAATGTCACTTGGCGAATTATATTTTATTTTAGCTCCTTGGAAGTGAATGCATGGGAGGGATGATGGTGGGATAAGGGGTTGAGGTGTGACAAGTCAAACGAACTGGTGTTACGATATTACTAACAGATTAATTTATCCCCCTTCCCTTCCCTTTCTTCCCCCCTTTCTCACCAACATACACACATAACACACATACACAACACACACACAGATTCTTAATTGTCCGCCTCAATATTCCTCTAACAGCCCACGGCAGTTGTTATTGTTAGTTTTACTAAGGCGTTACGAGTATTCAGACCAAATTGCAATTAATTCAGGAAACATGGCAGGTTATTACATTTTGCATCACATGCATTATACGTAACACGTTTAAGATAGAGTACCGAATACAGAGAGAGAAAGAAAAAGAGAGAGAGAGAGGGAGAGAGAGAGAGCATGAAAAAGGTTTTCTTTCTCTTTTATAACGTAACACCCAATTACTCTGTTTTCTATTTCGCTTAGAATTCTTATCGGGCGTATAATTTAATCGGTATACGCGTTGTGTAAAAGCTATTATTAATTATACGCGTCCGTGTCAACAATTATATTATTATTATTTTAAGATTTAACAAACAATTTACCGTATTCCTTTGGTGAAGCTTGTTTTTTTCTTCTTCTCTTTTTTTAAAACAACGCGCAATTAGATTTCCTTGGCCAGTGAATTACGCGTACGCGGTTCCTTTTTTTGTTATTTTACTTTAATTTCGCGTATTTTTTTTTTT